CCCCCCCCCCCCCCCCCCCAGGCCATAACCGTGATGGGCTCCTGTCCAGTAATATTCTGCATTGTGCCCTAGTGGCTGCAGGGCTTCATATTCGAAAAAGGGACTTTAAACAAAGCAAGCGCAAAACAGGCGAATCTTTCTTGGCCGATTTTTTGGGCTGTTCACTCTACCTGCAAGTGTTATGTTAGGTGCTCAAATATGAGGTGCGTCAGAGCATGCGTGCACTCACGCAAGCTTAATACCAAGACAATACCTTGAAGCTGTGACAACCATGGCAGCTATTGACATCGCGTTCTATGCTTGAAGAGACAGTAACTTTAAAGCAAGATTTCTTTCCTTTTTCTTCGTTGTTTTTGTTTTGCTTTCTCGCTTACCGATTTTTGTTTTATTCTTGTTACTTATGCTTTTTTATCTGTATTTTTTTTTCTATATCCATATCAATTCTTATCAGCATTTTTCTATCCAACCTCGTCTCCAGGGCTTTTCCCGAAAAAATTTTTTTCAGGGAAAAGCCCTGGGAACGAGGTTGTTTGCCATCCGCACCCGATTCCGCACCCGGCATCCGCAGGTATCCGGTACGACTTTTACAGACACCATTGCCAGATGGGATAGTAAACGGCAGAAACTATTTTAAAGTAAACTAGCATCGAGTTGGAATGTTTACCTCATGAATTGATGTTCCAGGGGGGCTGATTTAATGAATATTACCCGAGTGAAATATAATAGCGTGCATAGTATTAGATTAAAGAGTAAAATGTTTTTTATTCCCTTAACGAAAAAAAAATTGATTAAAATAGGCCCTATGAGCGCGCATGCATGATTGACATAAAATAAATAGGGTAAATACACAAAAAGGAAAGAAGAATGAATAAGAAACAAAATACACTCCATTAGAAATTATATACAGTTGAGATCTTCAAATCGTTGAAGAGAAGCCGAATATAGAAGGAATTGGCAGATATGTGGCTCGCTCGGATGCACATGGCTTTTCTGTTGTAGCCTGCGAGCAAGCTCTCCTATTTGGGCAAGCGAAGCGAGCCTCGCGAGAACGCGCGAGCGAGCGGCGAAGTCTCGCTCGCGCGTTCTCGCGAGGCTCGCTTCGCTTGCCCAAATAGGAGAGCCTTCTCGCAGGCTACAACAGAAAAGCCATGTGCATCCGAGCGAGCCACATATCTGCCAATTCCTTCTATATTCGGCTTCTCTTCAACGATTTGAAGATCTCAACTGTATATAATTTCTAATGGAGTGTATTTTGTTTCTTATTCATTCTTCTTTCCTTTTTGTGTATTTACCCTATTTATTTTATGTCAATCATGCATGCGCGCTCATAGGGCCTATTTTAATCAATTTTTTTTTCGTTAAGGGAATAAAAAACATTTTACTCTTTAATCTAATACTATGCACGCTATTATATTTCACTCGGGTAATATTCATTAAATCAGCCCCCCTGGAACATCAATTCATGAGGTAAACATTCCAACTCGATGCTAGTTTACTTTAAAATAGTTTCTGCCGTTTACTATCCCATCTGGCAATGGTGTCTGTAAAAGTCGTACCGGATACCTGCGGATGCCGGGTGCGGAATCGGGTGCGGATGGCAAACAACCTCGTTCCCAGGGCTTTTCCCTGAAAAAAATTTTTTCGGGAAAAGCCCTGGAGACGAGGTTGGATAGAAAAATGCTGATAAGAATTGATATGGATATAGAAAAAAAAATACAGATAAAAAAGCATAAGTAACAAGAATAAAACAAAAATCGGTAAGCGAGAAAGCAAAACAAAAACAACGAAGAAAAAGGAAAGAAATCTTGCTTTAAAGTTACTGTCTCTTCAAGCATAGAACGCGATGTCAATAGCTGCCATGGTTGTCACAGCTTCAAGGTATTGTCTTGGTATTAAGCTTGCGTGAGTGCACGCATGCTCTGACGCACCTCATATTTGAGCACCTAACATAACACTTGCAGGTAGAGTGAACAGCCCAAAAAATCGGCCAAGAAAGATTCGCCTGTTTTGCGCTTGCTTTGTTTAAAGTCCCTTTTTCGAATATGAAGCCCTGCAGCCACTAGGGCACAATGCAGAATATTACTGGACAGGAGCCCATCACGGTTATGGCCTGGTGTGGGGGTACTCAACAACTTTTTATATTGGGAGGGTTTGCCCCGAGGTTTAACCCCTTACCCTTTTATATACCATTTTTTTCACGAAAAAAGGTACCCCTTTCGTATACCTTCTATTGAAAAATGCTACCTTCTCACTTACCTTGTATAGAACCAAGAGAGGATCCTCTCTCGTTAGAACTTTGTATCCCTTTTTACCACTGTAAATGCACGGTCTTTTGAATAGTTATCGGTCACCAAAAAAGAATCTGCTAGACCTTTTAGGCCCTTCCACAGACCCAATTGACAGATTTTCCTACCCTTTCGTATACTGCAATGAGTAATATCCCTACCCTTTCCTATACCTGAGACATAAAAAACGTACCCCTTTCGGGCGGAGCTTCCTCTTTAGCAACAGAACGAGAACGTCATTTGACATCGGGAAAGCGCGCGGTAAGGACTGAACTCGACTTCTCCTTCCTAATTTCCCGCTGTGCCATTGGTCAAGCCAGTTAGCTCCAGTTGTTTGATTTACAAGCGCTGTCGTCAACTGACTTTCCTGTTCTGTGGGAGTACTCCTCCGGGGGTTACCGGCTCCTGTACTAGATCAGTATTCAAACGTGGCCTAATTCCCGATGAATCCTGTCCTCACTTTCGCCGCCATTTTTGGAACGTTACTTTGGAAATTTAATAGCACCTTCTGCTGAGCGATGAACTGTCATAAATTTATGCAGGGTCATATTTCCGTATTCCTTGGTATTGAAATAAAAGACGAGTTCCCTGCTTGACGCAATGACCTTCCTCTCTTAAATTTTAACGACAAAGAAACATCAGAGACATTTGATAGTGCTAAAAGGAAAGGAGAAACAATTACCTTAAGAAGCAGAATGGTTAATTCCATAGTTTTACGCGTTGTTCAAGTTGTCAGCACCATTCACAATCTATGCCTAAAGTCCATTCCATTCCTCTACTTTTCACGGGATCATTTGCGGTCGACAATGCAATGGGGATCACTTGGGGTCCAATTTGGGGATCATTTGAGGTCTAGGGATCATCAGTACTCGTTCCACAGACATTTGCGCAGTCTAAATGAACGAGTAGCCAATCAGAGTTCGCGGAAAAACAGCAACCTCGTTTCCAGTACGAGGCGCCTCGTCCTGTCACGGTAAACACACGCCACCACACCGAACATCTGAGTGAGTTGGTGCGCGCTGTTCCATGAAACTTGCTCTGAAATCGAGATTTTGAAATCGTTCCTGAACGGAGCACTTACACGAGGCCGATTCTACCGAGGAAAAGCAAACATTCATTGATGGTGAGTGGAATTTAACCTTTATTTTGTGGGGTGATTTGAAACAAACCTGGTTCGTTGTTCAGCTGAGTCGCTGGTTGTGGTTTTTCAAAGTGACGGAATGCTCTGACGTAAAATGAACATAAAGGTATGTGTAGAGGACTTATTGTCTTTTTGCTGCACAGGAATTGTTTGATGTTTAATTTTATCTGGTCATTACGCTTGTTGGTCTCGGTCATTTTATGAAGGGTTATTGCGAAGCGCTGCCGAGTGTCTGCAACGCAACCCCGGGAATGCAACGCGATCCGGTTCGCCGAATTTCCCGAAAGTCAATTCACCCTGTTAATTGCATTGGGAAGCTGCTTTAACGACAGAACTCTCTGAGTAAAAATAGCAGTTTTGAGGTCAGTTAAAAAAAAATCATCTAAATCCAAGATTGAAACTAAATACATGGCTTGTAATATACCATTTTAAGGCTAATTAAATTTTCTAGCTGATGGATCATAGAATTCCATATGTCTACATAAATTATGCTAATTATTCAATAAATTTGCATTGTTAAGGTAGTTTTATCCTTTGTCGCCTGGCAAGTTGCCATAAAACATCACAAACTTGTGAGGAAAATAGATAAATTCTTGCATTTTATACGAAATATAATTGGCAGCAATGTTTAAAAGATATTTTTCTGCCTGTGGTATTGTTCATGACAACCAGAACGACATAAACGCTTAACACAGGTTCTGCAGCCATATCCAGTTTCTTTGCGCTTTGCTCCTTTTACACTGATGCAACAATGGTGGTATCTTCCAAACTTGAAAAGCCCCAACTCAACGAGATTGACAGAATCATGCTCTCTTCCATGAAAAGGAGTGGGAGGCAGTGCTGCTGGTGGGCCAGGCTGACGACGGCAAGAAAAATTTCCCATCAACTTGTGGATGACTCCAGACATAAATTTGTCATGTTCAAGTGGCTTTGGGGGCTTTTCTGGTGCTGGCATGTTCATATTTTTGGAATTTTCCTTGTAGATAATGTATGCATTCACCATGATTGCATCCAAAAAGTTCACAAACATTCTTACCCACCACCTCCTCAACGTAAGGTCGATTGCATAGTTTCGCACTAACTGGTCATGCCTATCAACAGCACCCTTATTCTTGTTGTAGTCAACTGCACAGGGTCGGCAAAGTAAAGTCGCACTTTCACCTCTTCTCAGTTTCCAAGAGATTGTGCAATTACCATGAGAGGAGTGCATATTTTGATAGAAAAGAGACATCTTTTGTGTCTTTCCACACTGTGCAAACTGTTGTTTCGCATGCCACAGTGTGAAAATCACCCCGATTCATCTGCTTTTGCAGGTTTTT